CTCGTCTGCAACGTGTGAAAGATCATTCTACATAATGAGGTTACTTTTGAATTGGTTATGAATTTCAATGGGCCAAGAAAGATTCTCGTCACTTGGCCTATTATTTATAGAAAATGACATATATACCGGGTGGCTACGGAAGTATTGCCTACGGAATATCTCAGTTATTGTATGAAGTAGGTTCGTGAAATTTGGAGCGTCGATATAATGACATAAGAGCTAGAATTTGAGCATATTGACATGTCGAAGTTAACTTCCGGTCTGACCGGAAGTAACATCAACTTTCTTATTTTAAATGGAAACCCTTTTTTTTTCTTTTCGCTTCTTATTCAGCATTCGATTCCCTTTCTAACGACATATCACAAGTTGGTATCTAACCAGAAACTTGATCAGAAAAAAATTATTATTGAAATTCACCGAGTAGGCCGTGGAAGCAAAATGAAAGCCAAAAAATGACTTTCTATTATATCATTAGGAAGGAATGGTTATGCTGAATAGTACAGGCAAGAAAAAGTTGTATGTTCCTATTTAAGTTATGGACCTACAGAGTATTGTTTTTTTTCCCAATTTTTCCAATATTTTTTTTGGCGGCTTTTCATAACGCCGACGAATGAAAATAAAATATCACAGTAGTAGCAACTGTTATCAAGTTTCCATAGCCAACTTTCCAATTTTTGGCTTTCATTTTGCTTTCACGGCATACTCGGTGAATTTCAACAATAATTTTTTTCTGATCTAATTTCTGGTTAGATACCAACTTGTGATATGTCATTAGAAAGGGAATTGGATGCTGAATGAAGCGAAAAGAAAAAAAAATAGGGTTTCCTTTTAAAATAAGAAAGTTGATGTTACTTCCGGTCAGACCGAAAGTTAACTTCGACATGTCAATATGCTCAAATTCTAGCTCTTATGTCATTATATCGACGCTCTAAATTTCACAAACCTACTTCATACAATAACTGAGATATTCCGTAGGCAATACTTCCGTAGCCACCCGGTATATTGATCTTAATACTGTAATGGATAGATATGCGCCAAAAGAAAGAAAAATAAATTTGCCACGTTAGTTAATGAGTTAGTTTTAATAATTAATCATTTCATTTTTACTTGTTGTTATATTAAGCTAGCCCCCCCCGAAAAGTCCGAGCTAGTTGCGCCCCTGTTTTGGATATATTCGTGAGCTAAACAAAGTGAGAATTATTCAATTTGAATTAAATATTTTGAAAATTTATGATCACAAAAGTATATTTTACAGAGGGTTAAGTAATATTTCATTTATAGACATTAGAGTGTTCGATCAGTATACCCTATGTATGCCGCCCCTTAAAATCTGCCGCCCTAGGCTCCAGCATACTTAGCCTGCTGGTAAATTCTGCACTGATTTGAGCACTGGATTATAAATAATGCACTCGGAGCAGGAATGCAGAGGGTAGTTGGCTTCATTCTGACAGGTTATTGTTTTGTTATTTATGCATTGAAATATCTCGGTCCGAAACGAAAATATCATTTGATCAATAAATCACTATCGGCTACATGCAATGATACTATCCTTCCTAATTTACTGTCATCGGTCAGAACAGAATGAAGCCGACACCCATGGCTCCTTCCTCTTAATGTGCCTGTCAGTATTTTGAGTAGTGTGGACTGACTCGAAGTATTAGGCGCTGTTTCAAGATATATTCTGCAACTTTCCTTGAAAATAGATCCGTTTTATTAAGGAACGAATTGAAAATTGAAAAATGACTGACACGTTAAGATAACGATAGTGAAAAATTATAGATACTATCGCAAAATATCATAATTGATCTTTATTAGTAATCAATTTCATTCAGCCAATGAGAGATTTATGAGAATTATTCATACTTGACAAAGTAGGATTGAAGAACCTATTATATCCCATTGCCATTATGATATAGTTATTAGGGATTCAAAGAACAATTTCCGGAAATCTAGACATATTGATGATGTCGGCAACGTCGTACTGGCACTAAGAATCATATTTTAACTCTGTGTGAATGTGTATTTTCAGAAAGTACGTATAGGAATGGTGGAGAAGCCAAGTTCCTCTTTAATTTATTTTTTTCTGAAGTGAAATTTGATCTTACGAATAAAAGAAAGAATACGTATATATTAATTTTTCACAAACTTCACAGTGAGATAAGAACCTCAATATAGGACACTTTCCCATTACTGAATTCTCAGTTAAGTATTGGTAATACTCCTAATTAGCAATAAAAATTTAATTGCCTCAAATGTTTCCTTATGATTTGTGGCTTATTGTTTATAATAAATTTGTGTAAATAATAATAATATTAATTCACACAAGAGGACATTTGAATCGGTGAACGTGACAACACTGCGCACGACTTGTGGGCGTGGTCTTGTCAGTTCTCAGCATTCAGCGCAATGTTGCCAAGTCTCTAACATTCACATGATATTTTGTTATAGAGAATGAGAAATATTTGAACATGCTGGTTGCATGAAAAAGTCAAGAATGAATTAACATATCATGGTTTATTCCTCCTATGCTTTATTCAATGACAGGACTCTAACATCTTCTTGATAACTTGATTATAATTGGTGACTTGACAACCTTGCTTCATGAGTGGAAATGGAAGATTATCTGACCAATAACGAAACAGCATAAGAACTGACGTCACTATTCATTCGACGTATAGCGAAATGGCGGCCATGAAGGTTCGTTTGAAATGAGCTCTGAAATTTTAGAGTTTCGAACAACGCATATACTCATTATTTACAAAAGAAAATCGTGAGAAGTGTTGCAAAAATCAATTTAGGTTCCTAAAGACACAGTGGAGTAATAAGTTTCGTTTTATTTGTTCCATTCTGGTAGCGGTGGTGGGAACAGAATGACGTTTACAAATAAAACGAGAAACTCCATAACCTTGCTTGAGAGAATTTACTTAAGTGGTTATATTTGTATATGGGAGATCCAAATAATTTCAAAAGCATAATACTAGAGTTAAGAATTTAGAAAATGAATCAACTAATATTTGGAGCAGTGATTGTGGTGATTGAAGAAACTTCTCCGAGATCGACAGAGTTTAATTTATCTGGGAATGAACATATGAAACCTGTCTTACTTGAAAGAATCATGAACTAGTGAAACTCACGCTGAAAATGTCTTCTAAATGTCTTTTTCTTTCAAAAACGTTCGTTTTTGGTCAATCTAATTTGATTTCTTGACACCTGTCAATAGTCATTCCACATCATTCCTTGTAGTGAGACGGAATGGAAAGTAGCAACCGGAACCGGAAAAGTTGCAAATAAAACGACACATTAAACTGATTCCGGTGGCGGAATCGGATAAATAAAACGCAACTATTGAATGCCAATAGATCATTATCAGTTCACTCGCCCATTGAACGTTCTGGAGATGATCTTGTGTTTTCTAACCCATAAAATGGAAAACTCTTTCATTTTCTTATATGGTGGAGTTGTTTTTTTAATCTACTCATTCACGATACACAAAGTTCGAGAATGTTCTAGTCTGATCCAGAATGTTCAAGAATGCTCTGAAATTCTTTAGAATGTTCCAAAAATGAAGTATACATACTCATTTGGCATTGCTCCTGACCCCTGGCGCACGTTGAATAATCTACATCAGTTTATGAACCGGAATCGTCATCTTATATTAATTCAATATCTTAGTTTTTAGATGTTATATAAGAATGTTCAGAGATTTATGAAATATTTCCAGAATGTTCCAAAAGGTTCGAGAATGTTCTAGTCTGATCTAGCATGTTTGGGAATGCTCTGATCTGAAGTAGAGTCCCTTGTATATATACCTTAGACAAGAGTCCGGACACAGCTATACTTCTGTCCTTTACTGTTTTCAAAAAATGCACTGATGATAGAATAAAGGAATAAGACATATATTTCGAGCTCTGTCTTTTCAATTCCCCTAGTATCAATGATTGTCAGAAACAATTTTGAGGGTTAGATTATTTGTCAAACCGTTCATAGCCGTAGGTAGAAGTGAGAAATAGGGCTATTAAACTAGAATAACTATTAAATTTTCAAATAATGAACAACAGGATGTTCAAATTTCGAATCGATAATTTTCATAATCAATTCCTGAGATGGCTATTGCAAATTTTCGTCATCAGATATTTTTTCACTTCATTAGATATAAGGAAGATAATTTAAGTGTTCTACGTGGTATCACATATAGCCAAGAAAATATAGTTGTTTCCTGTTGGGATATAAAAAAAAAAGATATATAATTGTTTCAATATAATTTTCTCCGATTCTCTCAATTCAATAACACTCATCAGAAATAAAAGTGTACATTTTGAATTTGATCTGAATTAAAAACACCGTGGACTGATGACATAGCACATTGCAGTTTCTCTAAATCTTCTAGTTTTGATTTCAAACTTTTAATTTCTTTCCGCATCATCTCATTCTCATTTCCTTTCCCTGCGACCGTATCATTCAGTGATTCCCAATACGATGACGACGGGACTCTTTTTTTGAGCGTCTCTATTTCATAAATTGACGGCACAGCAGACTCTTTCAATTTGAAATCCATCAGCTTGAAAGAATGTACTGTTTTTAGAAGTAAATTTGAATATTCACCTCACATATTGCGAATTTCTTGAAATTAATTTTCCATTCTGGACGTTTCATTGCATTCTTCCATGATCATTCGAAAAATTGAATAACTTGAATCCCTTTTCTAATGAATTATCGCAATAATGTAGGCAGCAGGACATTGAAATAATTTAAAATGCTAAATTTTGGCGGTCATAAAATTTCAAAGTGACTGTGACAGAAATTCGAAATGATTTAAAAAAAGCGGGCGGACGACTATGGTGTTTCGTCACATTATCAGGTGGGCAAACCAAATGAAACAAAATATTGAAAACCCCAACGGCTGTCAGTTTTGTGTCCGGACTCTTGTCTAAGGTATATACAGGGACTCTAATCTGAAGTAGTCTAGATTCTAGAATGCTCAATAAAAAAAGAATACTCACTTGGCACCTCTCCTGGCCACTTCTAACAGACACAAGATGACGTGTTTTTCGTTTTTTCTCATAATCAAATCGTCAGATTCGAAGAGAAGGCATTCAATTATTTTCAGCGAGTTTCGGCACCAATTGATGAAATTGCTCACGTTGTCTCTAGAAAAAGAAGAAGTAGTTTAGAATAATATATACCATACGAGGTATTCAGCACATCGATATGATACAGTTCAATGAATATTCCCATGATATCAGATTTTTTCTCATTCTCCTAATTAACGAGAAATTTCATCCCGAAAAATGAATTAAAAACGAGAACAAAATCAAGTACGACACATGATTGAACTCCGCGTGATTAGGTGCCTTCCGCACGGAAATACGACCAAAGGTATCTCAACTTTTTTCTGCAGTTTTTTTATACAGGGTGTCCCATAAGTCATGGATCAAAAGAAGTGGGGTGGTGAGAAGGTCATTTGCAATTGAAGTTATTCAATTTTTCTGAAAAACGCGACCCATTTAAAAAAAATAGTAACAAAAAGGCTGTTCTGATCAACCCCATACAAGGAAAACGAAATTTTCCTGCAACCGACACAAAAGTCGTCCATTTTGATACCAAAATTAGCTCTCGAGTTGTAGTTTACTTATGTGAAGTTGGCACTGAGGTTTTTGAAAAACTGAATTTTTATCGAAGTTCTGGGTAGATACGATAGAGTTCTGGAGTTCCTGACGAAAAATTTCAATAGTTCTGGTTAATTGTAGAAAAAAGCCAAAAAATAAAATTGTGGGTGCTAACTTCACGCAGCGCCGCTTTTTTCACAGAAACGAGTTCTGATGCGAAATTTAGACGTATTCGAAAGAGTTCTGGAGTTCCTGATATATTTCAACGATAGTTCCGGCGAAATAACGAAGTTATTACTATTTTTAATAGGGACATTCATACGTTCATGTAGAATCCACCACTTTCTAAAATTCGGATCGGAGTTCTGGGTAGCACCAGTTGAGTTCCACATACTGTCTATAGGTAACTTTTTTCTCTTAAATCGGAACTTTAGTTTTCATGAGCGAAAACGAGGGACCGACTGAAAAAAAAGTTCCGTGAGAGATTTGGAAAGGAGAGACAATAGAGGAGATCCTGATCGGAGTTCTGGGTAGCACCAGTTGAGTTCCACATACTGTCTATAGGTAACTTTTTTCTCTTAAATCGGAACTTTAGTTTTCATGAGCGGAAACGAGGGACCGACTGAAAAAAAAGTTCCGTGAGAGATTTGGAAAGGAGAGACAATAGAGGAGATCTGATCGGAGTTCTGGGTAGCACCAGTCGAGTTCTACATACTACCTAGATAAGTTTCTTCCCTAAAATCGAAACGATTTTTGGAAGAAACGCGGAGCGGCGTAAACAAGCTTTTTCTAATTCTTGCATGTAATATGACCCTTCTCAAAACTTACGGAAGTTTTGAAACGCCCACCATACGTTACCAGTTGCTTAAAGTAAAATATTTCATAACTGGTGACGTAATGTTCATTGTGTCATCCGAAATTCTGTTATCAAACGCGATATTCTGCCGTATGAAGGAAACTTCAAACTGACAAGCGAGATATTGTACCCACGAGATTCTCAATACAACTCATTGAAATTATCAATTTGGGGAACATTTTTCTCGCCAGAATCCAATTGGTCCCTTTTATCCGCTTATAAAAACTAAAGTTTTGATTTTAGAGGAGAAAGTTGCTGGTGCTACCCAGAACTCCGATCAGAACTCCTCTATTGCTCCTTTTCAAATCTCTCACGGAACTTTTTTTTTCAGTCGGTCTCTTGTTTTCGCTCATGAAAACTAAAGTTTCGATTTTAGAGAAAAAATTCACCTAGATAGTATGTGGAACTCGACTGGTGCTACCCAGAACTCCGATCCGAACTTTAGAAAGTGGTGGATGCTACATGAGCGTATGAATGTCCCAAAATAGGAATAACTTTGTTATTTCGCCGGAACTATCGTTGAAATATACCAGGAACTCCAGAACTCTTTCAAATACGTCTAAATTTCTCATCGGAACTCGTTTCTGTGAAAAAAGCGGCGCCGCGTGAAGTTAGCAGCCACAATTTTGATTTTCGGTTATTTTCTACAATTAACCAGAACTATTGAAATTTTTTGTCAGGAACTCCAGAACTCTATCGTATCTACCCAGAACTCCGATGAAAATTCAGTTTTTCAAAAAAGTCGGCGCCAACTTCACATAAGTCACATTTAGTTCCTAAGAGCTGAAGTTGAACTTCGTAAGTTCTAACTTTCCTGGGATGAAATGGGAATTCTAGGAGATACCACAGTATGGAGAGTACTATCGTACAGCGGAGCTGTGGATAGAGCAAGTGATGTTGGTGCCAAAATTGATCCTTGTGGAACGCCGGAATCGATGGCTATGGTATCAGACGATACTCCGTCTGAATAATGATTCACAAAAGTAACAGGCGAACATTGAAGTGTATTACCCTCAGAAATAATGAATTTTTGGCAAATAAGTACACTTTCATTTCGTTATATACAGGGTTGGGCAAAAGTATGGAACCAGGTGAATATCTCGGTAACCGTTCGTTACATTTTTTGGATATATGTACAGGGTGATTTCAAAACGTGATGGATTTGAAAATGTTATCGTCGATGTTGCCACTTTTTCAGTTATTCCGGAATTATTATCAACTTCCTTTTTTTGAATAGAACACCCTGTATTTTATCGAATTCACAGATTCTCCCTGAGAAGCTGATTTCATCGATTCATCACACTTGGGTCTAGCCAAGAATGATTACTGAGATATAGGGTGTTCGAAATCGAGATTTTTCAACTTTAGGATTTTTTTGTGTCGAAACTATTCATTATTGGTCATAACGGCTCACATGTCCCAACTGTTGATTCACTATCTACCGACATTTAATTGAAACAAATACAGGGTGGTTCAAGATTCAGAAATCTGATCACCCTGTATCTGTTCCCATTAAATACCAATAGATAGAAGATCAAAGGTTAGGATAGGGACATGAAAGCCGTTTTGATTGATAATGAATAGTTTCGACACAAAAAAATCCCAAAGTTGAAAAATCTCGATTTTGAACACCCTATTTCTCAGTAGTCATTCTTGCTAGACCCCAAGTGTGATGAATCGATGAAATCAGCTTTTCAGGGGGAATCTGAAAATTCAATAAAATATAGGGTGTTCCATTTGAAATAAGGAAGTAGATAATAATTCCGGAATAAATGAAAAAAGTGGCAACATCGACGATAATATTTTCAAATTCACCACGTTTTGAAATCACCCGCTTTTGCCCAACCCTGTATTTCTTTTTCTTTTGCCCATTTTATTTATCGATATTTTTGACGATATAACGGAAATATCGCTTTGTATACACGATTGGCAAAACTATTTTTCCTATAAGGAAACCGTGTGCATTGTGTGCATGGGCATTTTAACGAAGAGACACGGCGACGTTGCCATATACGAAGCGTTAGCTCCTCCTTCGAGCGAGTCCATTGTTCGGTCCGACCGCAGGGATTATCGTTCGCCACACGTGCCATACCCGAGTAGGTGGGGCAACAACGCTCACCCATTACACGGTTCCTCCATAGGAAAATTATTTTTGCAATTTGCTTCCCATTTCTCAAAATTTGGCAAATCTAATACTTATTTCTTACCTAGCAAAGAAGGTTCCTGGCTTGGCCGTATTGAAATATTTGACTTCGGCGATCTTGACGATGGCTTGAGCGACTGCCAGAGATCCAGTCACCGATCGAGTCATCACCTTCTTTGCCTGCTTCTTCTCCACGTACTCCTGCGCCTGAACTTTCAGGGCGTTAGCGTGCTGAAACAAAAGAAAATCTTCAAATAATAATGAAAGCATTTCTGTTTTTCTAGAGCTCTTTTTACTCCATAAGGAAAATACAATATATTTGGATGTGAAGTAGCACATTTTCGCCCGGTTCAACAGCCGTAAAGTAGTACTTCAGCGCTAATTCATGGCGAAAATAGATATTTACGTAACGAGTTAGGAAACAAGATCGTGGGTCATAGAGAGCCAATAGAACGGCCAGCACGCTCGCCGGACTTGGCACCTGATGATTTCTTCCGTTAGGGTCATTTGAAATGCGTTATTTATAAATTTAAAAACAAAAGACTACTGACGTGGACAATTCAGAGAGAAAAGTGAGGATTGAATGCCAAGAAATAACAAACATCTCCATGAATAATGTGTAAGAGGAATTCGCGAATAGACTTCATCACTGTGCAGGGGTTAATAAAGGTCATTTTCAATATTTCATTTCATACATTCATTTACTTTAACAATTAATAATTATATTTATGCACGACCGGGCGTAAAGTAGCACTTTACCGCCCGGGTTTGCGGGCGTAAAGTGGCACTTTACCGCCCGCGGACTACTTTACCGCCCGGCGGGCGATAAAGTCATTGAGCTGGTGGTAAAGCTAATGTCACTGTCATATCGCACCAGCTTACGAATTCTTCGTATACTTTGTCGTATATTTTTTTTGATTTACTTGGCAATAAACTCGATTTTGCTTCCTCAGCTGCCTCACTAATTTCTGGTGGAGTACAATTCACACTTTCTTCATCACTAGAATTCATTTTGTAATCACTAATGAATTATGTATGATTACACAAATTGACAGTTGATATGGCTACTGGCCTATTACTTCCTATTTCGAAAAATTGACTGAGTTGCCATGGTAACGTTGATTCCATACTTCTTGATTAATTGTATTTGCGATATGGATACAATACAGTCTCACTGCAACCGTGATGTATTTTTATTGTGCTTGAGGGGTGAAGAGATAACTACATGAGATATCAAATATACAGGGTGTTATTTAAGTATGTGGCCAAACTTGAAGGGGTGATTCTTTGAGTGATTCTAAGACGAAAAGTTCATATAAACATAGGTCCGGTAATGCTTACACAGGGTGTCAAAATTTTTAAAAAAATCGTTGTTTTCGTAAATATCTTAATAACCCTTCAACCGATTTTATTGAAATTTGGCAGTGTTATTCGAGGTCGTAAAGGGCTAATTCAACCCTAATTATATCAAAATTATCATGTCCAGTGGCGTCCCGGAATGCACTGTAACGAATATTTTTGACAGAAAAAATGTGCGCCACTGATTTTTCTTGCAATTTTTGTATTTCTTTCACATCGAGCAACTAAAATTACAACTTTTTTATATCTAGAATTTTTTTCGTATCTTGCTTTGTTTTTGAGAAAAAAACATAAAAATCACTTCATTGCACATCCCTGTGCCAGGGACGTGCCATGAAGTGATTCTTTTCAAAAACAAAGCAAGATACGAAAAAAATTCTAGATATAAAAAAGTTAAGTTAAGTAATTTTAGTTGCTCAATGTGAAACAAATACAAAAATTGCAAAAAAATCAGTGGCGCACATGTTTTCTGTCAAAAATATTGGTTACAGTGCCTTCCGGGACGCCACTGGACATGATAATTTTTATACCGGGTGACACAGGGTATCGGGCCACACCCCTGTAACTTCTGCATTCGTCAACGGATTTTCCTGAAATTCGGTACAGTTATATAAGCAATTATTTCGGATTTGATCACATTACAATCCAATATGGCGGACTTCCGGTTTTTCTGGAAATGCCAGCAACTTTGTTTTTTCAAATGAAACACCCTGTATATTTTCACATATTCAAGTTCAACAGGTCGAAACAAGTGCAATCTTAATTTCAAATGTCATTTTTTCGAAAAAATTTAAATTAAAATTGTTCTTTCATTTTACCTCGTGGATAAATGAGATGTGGTCAAGACTATTCACAATGAGTCACACATAACAGAAGAACATAATTTTTTCTGAATATTCATTTTTTGTGTCACTTATCCAGGAATCAATTCAGCCACATCACTTTTTGATCAAATTTTTTTTTTTCAAATGGAACCCCTATGGGCCACCTACCCGTCTCTCTAGAACATACATCAAGGAACAAAATGACATATCATTTTTGTTTTTAGGTGCAGTAACAAATTGTATACATTCAAAAATCAACAACTAGTTTATGAATTTCCTTGCAGTTAGAATAATTTTTCAACTAGGTAGGCTGTGGAATAAATGACATTTGACATCAAGATTGCACTTGTTTTGACCTGTTGAACTTGAATATGTGAAAATATACAGGGTGTTCCATTTGAAAAAACAAAATTGCTGACATTTCCAGAAAAACCGGAAGTCAGCCATATTGGATTGTGATGTGATCAAATCCGAAATAGTTGCTTATATAACTGTACAGAATTCCAGAAAAATCCGTTGAAGAATACAGAAGTTACAGGGGTGGCCCGATAACCTGTGTCACCCGGTATAGTTAGGGTTGAATTAGCCCTTTACGACCTCGAATAACACTGCCAAATTTCAATAAAATCGGTTGAAGGGTTATTAAGATATTTACGAAAAAAACGATTTCTTTTAAAAATTTTGACACCCTGTATCTTGAAAACGAAGCATTACCGGACCTATGTTTATATGCACTTTTCGTCTTATAATCACTCAAAGAATCACCCCTTCAAGTTTGGCCACGTACTTAAATAACACCCTGTATACAGGTCGTGCATAAAATGTTGTATGTATTTCGGGCGTAACTAGCTTTTATGGACCTAGGCGTGTTAATAGCCCTCGCTATCGCTCGGTATATTACTTACACGCTGCGGTCCATAAAAGCCTATTTTACGCCCTTGATACATAAATAACTATTATATACACCAAGGTCGTAAAGAATTACCCAGGGACCAAGATTATATCGCGACGCTTCAGCCGAGGGGTATACGGTCCCGTGGTGATGATATACTTTACAAGGTGTATATAAACTTTTCCACCACTAATTTTTTTTTCACCATTTTAGTTCTGTAATACTATAAAATATGGACCTATCGTCTTCGCTATCGTCACTATGAAAGCACTTCTTTTCATTTCTAATTAAAATCTAGTAACCATGATCATGACAGCATATGACAAGTCGTTGATAAATACCTACTAGATTCGAGTGCTATTCCTGCGGATCTCGCCATCAGAAGAAAGAATTCAGGTTAATTACAACAGAGGTGACTATTTCCTTATTGACTATAGTGGTTCATAAAATTACGAAAACTACCTTGGTGGTAAAAACACACTTTGCGCCTCGAAAAGGAGTAAATAATGGTAGGTTTTATAGCTGGAGGTGGAAGAAGAATACTTCTTGTTTCTTACACATTTGATTTTATCATTTAACGGGTAAACTCTGACACTTTATCAAACTCTCGGGTTTTGATAGTTCGATGTTTGATTGTCAACTCTGGCAATGTAAGGGCACGTTCAAATTTCAACATTTTGCTTTCTTCATTTCCATAACTAATATCTTGTAATCAACTGATGAAGGGCTTATATAATCCCAAAACATGTACTGCATGATAAATATCTGATCCTTCAAATAATTAAATGTTGTGGAGATGACTTTGGGGTTCTTCATCTATGGATTAAAAAATATACCATTTGTACTCAAATATCTCTCTCAAAGAACTTTGCACTGCTATTCAGAATTGAATTACTTTCGCAATGATGTATAACATGACCCAGGGTGGGTTGCTCTGGGACGTAAAGGGTTGATTATATGTATTATCATTTCTGCGTCAAACGCAAGGAGGCTAAGGAATGAGAAGACCGACGTGTTTCGTTGTTTTTTTGTAAAATAATTTTTCGAGTAGTGAAGAATTATCTTGTGTGTGAGCTAAACTCTAATATTGAGAAGATATTACGAATACAGGGTGTAAATTTGAAAACTTCCAATGCGAATATCTCGCGAAAGAAAAAAGTTAGAAAAACGCCGTTTGGCAAAAATGCTAAAGAGTTAAGGGGAACTAGAACCACCATATTTCGCTCAAGGGTTCAAATGCCATTCTAACATTTTGGAACACATCTCTTGGAATATATCGGCATTCTGCATTTTATTTTATTCGACTTCATGTTTTCCGTTCACCCTGTAGTGGGTGGAAAATAAGTCTTGTACAGGTGAATACTACTGACTGAGACCGTTCATTTGAGGTATCACAAAAGAGGTAGTGCCATTTGACATTTCGAAGATAGAGTGTGTCGCGCCGACGGGGTGACTCATCCCTTTACTGAAGTATGGTGGTTCTAGTTCCCCCTAACTCTGTAGCATTTGTGCCAAACGGCGTTTTCCTAACTGTTTTATTTAGCGAGATATTCGCATTGAAAGTTTTCAAATTTAGACCCTCGAATTAATGTTTTTCGTACACCCTGTAGTGGGTGGAAAAAAAGTCTTGTACAGGTGAATACTACTGACTGAGACCGTTCATTTGAGGTATCACAAAAGAGGTAGTGCCATTTGACATTTCAAAGTTGGGGTGTGTTGCGCTGACAGGGTGACTCATCCCTTCACTGAAATATGGTAGTTCTAGTTCCCCTTAACTCTTTAGCATTTTTGCCAAGCGGCGTTCTTCTAACTTTTTTATTTCGCGAGATATTCGCATTGAAAGTTTTCAAATTTACACCCTGTATATTAAAATAATGAAATTATCGACGTGAAATTTGAAGTTTTTAACAGGAATGACAGCTGCGTTGTACGTTCAATTGAATGCACACTTCATTTTTAATTATGTTTTGATATTTTCTCATAAAAACTTTTAGCACTAGTGATTTACTGTCAACACCAGTGTCATAAAATGGCATTTTAGATACTCACAGCATACGTTAAGAATTATATTTTTACTGACGTTTGTGAAAAAAATTCTATGACAAATTTTTAAGGCAATTCATGGATTCCAAAAGATATTGAATCTTGTTCAGAAG